TCCCTCTTCCTCTATCTCATGGGACATCCCTGTTACATAAGCATAGTATAAAATGTGGATCTCAGCTCTCATTTGAGTGCTTACCTTCTTCCCTCGCATAGCCCATTGATTAGCCCTGTTTAAAAAAAAAGAGTCCATCAAGAGGGCTAATGTTGCTAAAGACGTGAAAGAAACATTGTTCACAATGCCGCAGAGAAACAGTTATTGATGTGGAAAATGGAAAAGCAGTTAGCCAGCAACAACATTTTGGAGGCAGTGATACATGAACAAGCCAAGAGGCTCCGTACTGACCTGAGGGACACCCCTGGGCCGAAAGCTAAAATTGAGTCGTTCAAGGCTGGGGGGGAGGGGGGGTGATAAATTTAAGAAAATAAGTATTTTAAAAAATGAAACACTTCTAAAAGTGTGATTTTCCTAATGCCAATTTAGCAATAAAGAGCACTTTGAACCTAAGTCAGCAAGATGGTTGGCTATGAAGCTCCAGGCTCCCGCTCCCCCACAGTAATCCATCAACGTAAGAACCAATGTGTCTGCGTGAGAACTAGAAACCAGTTATGAAGCTGCTGCAAATAAGCAAACACCTAAAGAAGAAAAAGCCACTCAAAACAGCAGGAAATTTCATGAATTTTTTCCTCCCACCCTCAGGGTATCAGTGTGGTTAGGAGGAACCCAGCCAGCTCCTGGCTTCTCCCTCAGGACAGGAGGAGGAGGAGGAGGAGAACTCACTGCATTCTGGCTTGTTTTAGGGACTGTTTTCTACTTGCCTATCTCGGAGCACTAATGGGAATGGTGACATCATTTAGAATCAGCCTGCAAGCTGCTGAAAGCAGTGATGGGTCTCATGACACAAAAGAGCTGCAGAGGGAATGAGCAAGAGATTAAGGGCTGAGCAATCCTATATAATAAAGAGCTAATATGCTAATTAGACCGAACAGCAGAACAACAGTCTGGACAACCTTCTGGATGAAGCCAGGGCTTCGAGGGCCGGCCAAGGCAGCCGGGGCCGCGAGGGCCAAGCCCCTTACACGAATTTTGTGCATCAGGCCATATATATATATATATTTTTTTCTTTTTTCTCCAATATAATAAAAAGTTAATATGCAAATAGACCAAACAGTGGAACAACCGAACAACCTGTCGCTATGACATGCGCTGATCACCAGGGGCACGTGTGGAACATGGCAGGCATCAGCCACAGTAGGATGGTGGAGCAGGTGAGCGGTGAGCCAGATGTACTTTTATTGATTTCAAAGAGGATGGGAGGATAGAAAGAAACATCGATGAAAGAGAATCATTGATTGGCTGCCTCCTGCATGCCCCCTATTGGGAAGCAAGCTCACAACCGGATTTATAGATCCATGCTCAACCACTGAGCCACAGAGGGCAAGGCAACCTTTAAAAAGTAGCAAGTGAAAAATTGATTCACAGTCTACAACAGAGCCTGTTAAATTAGCAATGGATTTCTCAGCATGAACCTTGCAGATCAGAAGGCTGCCCATTAATATATTTAAAGTGCTCACAAAAAACATCCTATATCCAGTAAAACTGTCCTTCAAAAATAAGAAATTAAAGGCATTCTCAGGTAAACAACAGCTAAAGGATATGGAGTTCATTACTAATAGGCCTGCAATGGAGTTGCAAATTAAAATGGGGCCTGCAAGTTGAAATAAAAGTGCACACGACATTAAAAATAGGCAAAGAACTTGAATAGACATTTCCTCAAAGAACATATACAAATGGCCAATAAGCATGATAAAAGATGCTCAACATCATGAAACAGAAAACAAGTTTGCTGAGGAAGTGAAGAAATTGGAACCCTTTTTACACTATTGCTAGAGTGTAAAAATTATGCAAAATAGTATGGCAGATCCTTACAAAGTAAAATAGAACTATATGATCCAGCAACTCCACTTCTGGGTATTTACTCAAAGAGATTATTTATAAAAGTGGTGGGCAGTTAGACCTGAGTAGAGCAAGGACCATGGGCCAGGTACAGAAGGTCACCAGGGTAGAAAGCCCCAGGTGCCGACCAACAGACAATCAACTGTAGGTAGGCCCTCATCCCCAGGGTGACCCCCGGTCACTAGGTTTGGAACCCCCTGACCTTGCCCCCCTAGAGATAACATCTAGCCTCAGTTGAATTCCAGTTCCAGGCCCAGATAAGCAACAAAACCAGCCTCAGGAACAGCTGCATAGAATAAAGACGCCCCTGCCCTGGCGCCACAATCAATCAGTAAAGACCACAACCCTGAAAAGACACACCTGGAAACCTGATGAATATTCTATTGAGATCTTCTCCTGGGACCTCCCCTAAAATCTCCACCCTTAGAACCCTTAGGACCCAGGACAGGAAGTGTGCTCTCCCTCCCAGGAGCACAGCCTTTGCCTTTGCTCTCCCCCTCCCTGCCCCAGGCAAGTTACCATTAGCTTCCTCACTCCCGAGCTCCTAAGGCCCTTCCTTTGTCTCCATAACTTGTTTCCTAAGTCCATTTCTCTAGGAATTACTTAATAAATGTTCTTTTACAGTTTGGGTCTTGGTCTGACCCCACCTGTCTACACATGGTGTCTTTCCCACTGCTAACAACATAAACATTATACCAGTGTTATGCTTAAGTCAAAAAACGGAAGCAATCCAAGTGTCTGATGGATAAATGAACAAAATATGGTGTATACATAAAATGCAATAGTTAGCTTTAAAAAGGATATTCTGACACATACTGTAACAGATGAACTTTAAGGGCATTACATTAAGTGAAATAAGCCAGTCACAAAAAGACAAATACTCTCTGATATAAATGGTGGTTGCCAGGAATGGGAGGGAATGAAGAGTTGTCTAAATGGGTACAGAGTTTCAGTTTTGTAAGATGAAGAGTTCTGGAGATTGGTTATACGACAATGTGAATTTGCTTAACGATACTGAATTATACATTAAAAATAGTTAAGGTGGTACCACAATTTTAAAAATTTTTAAATGGTGACTTCATATTACCTTTACATTCCAAGATCACTTTGTACTCTGAAAGATACCAGCCTTCCTCATCTCCTCAAAATCTTTCATGGAATCATAATTTCTGTAGAAATCTGCATATGCCTTCTTTCTTGGTTCAGCTACACCAAACTGAAAAAGAGCATATCCCATTATGGCTGATTTTTTAGATTAGA